CATGGGGTCTGCTGGCTCATGGGCCCCTGGCAGGAAGACGCGCCCAAGGCCAAGCCACTGGATCATTAACTTTCCCTAAGAAGGGAGCTTTTAATTTTTTATTTCTCATTTTATCCATGTTTTTTATTTTCCTTTTTTTTTTAATTTGTAAGAGTTTGTTAACATCCTTATGGGCTTCCTAATGAGTTTTATGACTCTTACTCCTAACTTTTTATAGAGTCATCTGTGCCCTTAGCCCAGCACTAGTAAATCCAACTTTAAAATATTTAATAATGGTAATTCAGAATATATGAGTTTGATCATTATAAGCTGTTAAAACATTTTAAAAACTCAGATATGGCATGAAGAATTTATTTTTTTAAAAGATTTTATTTATTTGTCAGAGAGAGAGACAGAGAGAGCACAAGCAGGGGGAGGGGCAGCAGGAGAGGGAGAAGCAGGCTCCCCGCTGAGTGAGGAGCCCGATATGGGACTCAATCCCAGGACCCTGGGATCAAGACCTGAGCTGAAGGCAGATGCTTGACCATTTGAGCCACCCAGGTGTCCCTGTCATGAAGAATTTAAAGTAACGATTAAGCACTACCCAGGCGACCACATGTCTGCCCGACCCTCTTAACCAGTATTAATTGGTCTTTTTTTTTTGTGCCTCTATAATCTTTTGCACTCACTAGTTGTAGTGTTTTCTTCAAATTGTTTTCATAACTGCCCTGTAGCTGCATATATGTATTCCACAGGATATTTCTTTGTACGTCCGTGTAAGCTGGGGAGCTGTTGGTGCCCTGAGAACAGATAGTTTGAGATAACAGTCTCCTTCTTTGTAGTCAGGAGCTGATTTTTGCCCACAGGCTGCAGTGCAAACCCAGGGGAACACGGGGAGCCTCTTTGTGCCCCAGATGGCTTGGGGGTTCAGGGCACATGCTCTGGAATCCGGTTTCTAACTGCATGAGACATACTACGTCAACTCTCTAAGCCTGGGTTGCTCCACCTATAGATTATGCCTAATGATTACATATGTCTCTTTTAAGGATTAATGGAGATAATATATGTCAAATAGCATAGTGCCTGGCCCATTTTACATGTTAGCCATTGTTACTCTGATCTCTTTGTTTCTGGTGGTGATGTCTTACAGTGCTTTCTGAACATACCCAGATTAAAACATTTCATGAGGACATATCCTGCGGGCCTGCCTAGGAACCCACTGTAAGTGAGGATATGTGGAAAAATCTCAGGATTGTCAAGCTTGAAGATGAAGGTTAAGGGCTGTAGTAGCATGAGAACATGTCAGATTAGGAGAGATGGACTTGTTGGGGGGGTCTTAGATGTGTCCCTCCTTCCTGCTGTGCCCATGTGCCTGGAAGTGCAGAAAGGAGCCTAGAGGAACTTTGGGTCAGGTGTTGGAGCCTGTGGACAGCATGTGTTTTATGTCCTCCCACGGGAGAAAAGGGTGTCCTGGAGAGGTGCTCAGAGGGAAGACCCTTCCCCAGATGAGAGCGGCCTGGAGCAGGGGGAGAGGGGGCTAGGCAGGAGAGCCTGGCAGCCACAGGTCCTGGGCCAGGGGGAAGAGGTCAGCGTGCAGGGCACTGGGAGTTGGTGCAGGGGATGGGGGGGGCTTTCTTCGGGGGCAGGGGGCAACTGAGCCAGCAAACAGGAATTCTGATGCCAGAACTCTGGTGTTGTCAGCTGTGGGGCTCCTAGTGCTTGAGTACATTGCAGAGGGATAGATTAGGGAACAGAAAAATAGTACATTTAAGTGCATTCATTCATGTTTTCAGTCTTAATGGATTTCCAGATAAGTAGGAAATGTCTCAAATAATAAAGAAAAGAAGAAAGAAAAAAATTTCCTCTTTAACAACACAAAAATTATTCCTGATTTTGTATATTGCCTTGTAGTCGGTGTTCACATGTGACTTTTATATAATTGCATGCCATTTTATATTCTGCTTATAAAATTTAATGCTTTCATAACATTTTTGGTATTTATAATTGCTCTTTATCATGATTTTTAAAAAGATTTTATTTATTTGAGAGAGAGAGAGCATGTGTGCGGGTGTGTGCGTGCACACGAGGGTGTGGGGAGAGGGGCAGAGGGAGAAGGAGAAGCAGACGCCCCAATGAGTGGCGCCAAATGCAGGACTGGATCCCATGACGCCGAGATCATGACCTGAGCTGAAACCAAGAGTCAGACATTTAACTGACTGAGCCACCCAGATGCCCCGTGTTTTTCATGATTTTTAGAACTATATAATGTTCCATAATTTTTTTGTTGTTCATTTATTCTCTGGGACAGGTTTTAAGAAATCCAATTTTTTCAATTTCAACATTTATATAGTTCCTATTTACATATTGTAATACATCTTTTTTTTTTTTAAGATTTTATTTATTTATTTGACAGAGAGACACAGAGCAAGAGAGGGAACACAAGCAGGGGGAGTGGGGGAAGGAGAAGCAGGGAGCCTGATGTGGGACTCGATCCCAGGACCCTGGGGTCATGACCTGAGCTGAAGGCAGTCGCTTAACCGACTGAGCCACCCAGGTGCCCTGTAATACATCTTTTGAACGAGTGATTCCGATGTACAATGTGTAGTGATTTTACCACAGCCTTCCCAGTGTGCATTGTCACTATTCAATTGACATCACAGAATTCTTATTTTTAAATGTTTAAGTCATTGGATACAATAAAGAATGAATTTTTTTCGCTTTTTAATTTTGGGCTTATACTCACTCTGGTGGACTTATGTGTAAGGTATGATGTACACACATTCTGTGTGTCTGAAGTAGATAGCCTAATGCGTTTTACACACTCATGCACACCCCCACCCCCACCCCATGGCCCCGGGACCGCCACCACCGTCACCTGCCACCCCTGCAGCCCATGTTAGGGATATACCACAGTTTCCCTCCTTTTGTGCGGTAGATGGACCCCTGGGCTGTGCGCCCTTGTTGGCGATCACTCGTGGAGCTGCTGTGGGCTCTGTTGTGCGCGTCTTTTGTCTTGGTGTCAGTTGGGTCTAGACTCAGCAGTGGGCTACGGGATCGTAGGGTAGTATGTTTTTCACTTTAGTAAGTACTGCTTATTATTAATAGCTTTTTAATGTGGAGCATGTCCACGGAGGGAGAAAGTAGTTAAAGGTAAAATTCCCTCACGTGTAGAAAGGAAAAAGTACAGTAGTCACCCCTGCTCTAAGACACGTGACTTGTGACTTTGAACCCACTGTGGAAACTGCATTGGACTAAGTGCTGGGAGCAACTTGCTGAAAACAGTTCTGTTTACTTAGTTGTTTGTTTGTTTATTTATAAAAAAATTTATTTGAGAGAGAGGGAGAGAGAGAGAGTGTGCATGGGGGGGAGGGGCAGAGGGAGAAGCAGACTCCCCGCTGAGTGAGGAGCCCGATGCAGAGCCTGACTTGAGGCTTGATCCCAGGACCCCTGGATCATGACCTGAGCCAAAGGCACACGCTTAACGACTGAGCCACCCAGGCGTCCCTGAAAGCAGTTTTAAAAATAAAAATAGCAGGAATGATTTTTCATCTCTTCCTCCGGAGGAGAGGGGGAAGGCATGAGTGTGCTGGCTTCACCATGGCGATCCAGGCCTGCCTGCATTTGGTTTCTTGTGATCCTTCATCTTCAATGCGCACGTGGGAAACTGAGGTGCAGGGTCACACAGGCTTGTGGTGTCAATGTGGGATTTGAATTCTGGGTCCAGAGCTACCCCTCATGGGGACTGGAGGTTATTTTTCCATCAAAACCGGGCATAGGAGGAAGCAGTAAAGACTAGAACAAGGCTCTCTGAACCAAGTGCTGAGTGTAGAGGCTTTTGGGTGTCATGGAAACATTTTTTAAAACAGCATTTAATGTTCTGATTGCAAAATGATGCATATTAATCACACACAAAATGTGAAAAATACAAGAAACCACAAAGAAGTAAGGGAAAACCTGCCACAATCCCACTGTCCGTGGATAACTGTGTACCTCCTGGCTCTTTCCTGGCTTAGGCGTGCTTGCTTTTTACACAAACACCGCACACAGCCCTCACACAGCTCTGTTCATTCTTTTCCCCTTAAATATATGTTATGGACCCTCTCCCCTGGCACTAAATAGTCCTTTATAGCATATTGAATGGCTCTGTAGTATTACGTTACAGTCAAATACTACAATTTATTTGAACAATTCCCTATTGCCAGATGTTAAGCTGGCTTCTAATTTCTCATTGTGATAATCAATACCGCAGTGAACATTCCTGGATATAGATCTTCATGAAGATCCATGAATATTTTCTTAGTATAAATTTATTTTTAAGACAAATGTTTTATTTTTCTCATTGACTTGGGTGCTGATAAAAGTGTGAATGTGAAAATCATTTTATTCCTGTAAAAAATTGTCCAGAAAGACATGGCGGGAGCATATTTAATTTTTCGTGGCTAAAATATAATACTCTCACATTTGTATATTGTGCAACTGTAAGCATTGGCAGCTGTCGGAGCCCTTTCTGGAAAGATGTTTAAGATGTGTTCACGTGTGATGCTTTCTCACCCCTCCCCACCTCCGTCACTGCCGGTGCACGAGCTGAGTTATGCCCCGTCTGGCGTGAGCACTGTGTGGGCGGCCCTGGTTCTGGCTGGGCAGTGGCTCCGTGTGTCGCACAGCCACGGGCAGCTCGCAGAGGCGCTAGGCTCATTTGCACAACCCTTGACAACCTCTAGCCCTAAGGCCGGCCATGGCCTGCTGGGGCCACCTGGGGACAGAGCTTTGGCTGTCCTGTTTCTTTAGTGGGGGCAGTGTTACATAGCTTGCAAACTTAAAAATACTCTGTGGGGATTTCAGACCTGTCTTTTGAGAAGAACACAGGGAGGTGAACTCATAGAAGTGTATGCTATTAGTGTGGTAACAATAACAGTTAATTAAAGATGTTAAAGATGCTTTTGATTATTGTTTGTGATCACTGTGTTTAATTAAGGTACACGGGAAGTGAAGTCCTGATGTGCTCTTTTTTGTATTTGTAGATCCACATCATAGATTTTGATGATGAAAATAACATTATAAATAAAAATGTCCTCCTCCATCAAGTGGGTGAGATCTGGCACATTAGTACCAGTCCTGCCGACAGAGGTGTGCTGGCCACGTGCTACAATAAACGTGAGTATTGGCAGGTGTTGATGCGCACCTCCAAGATTGGTCTTACGTTGTTAATGGACCGGTGCATGACTTACAGGAGTTGATGGTGGGTACAGGTGCTGCACTCACAGAGAAGTTGTGATACTGTAGGCAGACGCTTGTCACAGTTGATGAGCTGCAGTCTGAGACCGGAGGCTGGAGTCATAGTTGGTCCAGGCACGTTGACCCCCTGGGGCAGGAGAGTGATGTGCTGGAGGGTCTCAAGTGACAGGTGCAGGGGTCCTCCCACATTAGTTCACTGTGCTCCTTCGGAGGGTAGCTGATTTGTGTATATGTGTGCATGTGCGTGTGTGCAGGCATGTGTGTGCATGTGTACGTGGGGGGTCCATGCTCCTAATAAGCCTCTGCCCCATGTGCTCTTTGGCTCTGAAGTCTCTGGGGCCTTTGACGTTTGTGTCAACCCAGACGTCTGACGCCCAGCTGGCCACGCATCTTCCTCCGTTCTCCTTTCTCTGTCCTTGTCCGTAAGTGGTGTTCAAATTCTGGCTTTGGGGAAAACCCCTGGATACATCTTTCTCTGTAAGCAGAATAGTCTCTTTTGTGCTGTGTAGTCTCTGAAGTGTTCCCCTTGGTATCAGCATGCTGGTTGGCTAGTGGGTCTTCTGAAGCATTCCCTTCGGTATCAGCATGCCCGGTTGGCTGGTGGGCCTTCTGAAGCGTTCCCTTCGGTATCAGCATGCCCGGTTGGCTGGTGGGCCTTCTGAAGTGTTCCCTTCGATATCAGCATGCCCGGTTGGCTAACGGGCCTTCTGAAGCATTCCCTTCGGTATCAGCATGCCTGGTTGGTTGGTGGGCCTTCTGAAGTGTTCCCTTCGGTATCAGCCCGGTTGGCTGGTGGGCCTTCTGAAGTGTTCCCTTCGGTATCAGCCCGGTTGGCTGGTGGGTCTTCTGAAGCATTCCCTTCGGTATCAGCATGCCCGGTTGGCTGGTGGGCCTTCTGAAGCATTGTTCCCTTCGGTATCAGCATGCCCGGTTGGCTGGTGGGCCTTCTGAAGCGTTCCCTTCGATATCAGCATGCCTGGTTGGCTAGTGGGTCTTCTGAAGCATTCCCTTCGGTATCAGCATGCCCGGTTGGCTGGTGGGCCTTCTGAAGCGTTCCCTTCGGTATCAGCATGCCCGGTTGGCTGGTGGGCCTTCTGAAGTGTTCCCTTCGATATCAGCATGCCCGGTTGGCTAACGGGCCTTCTGAAGCATTCCCTTCGGTATCAGCATGCCTGGTTGGTTGGTGGGCCTTCTGAAGTGTTCCCTTCGGTATCAGCCCGGTTGGCTGGTGGGCCTTCTGAAGTGTTCCCTTCGGTATCAGCCCGGTTGGCTGGTGGGTCTTCTGAAGCATTCCCTTCGGTATCAGCATGCCCGGTTGGCTGGTGGGCCTTCTGAAGCATTCCCTTCGGTATCAGCATGCCCGGTTGGCTGGTGGGCCTTCTGAAGTGTTCCCTTCGGTATCAGCATGCCCTGTTGGCTGGTGGGCCTTCTGAAGCATTCCCTTCGGTATCAGCATGCCCGGTTGGCTGGTGGGCCTTCTGCGGCGTCCGCACATGGGCCCCACGTTCAGTGTCCTGTCCCCTTCCGGCCCAGCCTCAGGATGCTAGTGTATGTGGCTGTCTTCTGCTGTTGCCAGCCTGGGGCCCTGGGCACACCGCGTCCAGGAACCTGTGCGGGGACGCTCTGCTCCCTGCGGAGTCTCCCCAGGTGTCTTTCTATTTAATTTCACATCTACCTTTGTGGTAATTTTTTCTTTAAAGATTTTATTTATTTGAGAGAGAGAGAGAGAACAAGCAGGGGCCAGGGGCAGAGGCAGAGGGAGAAGCAGACGCCTTGCTGAGCAGGGAGCCCGATGCGGGACTTGATCCTGGGACCCTGAGATCATGACCTGAGCTGATGAAAGGCGGATGCTTTACCAACTGAGCCTCCCAGGCGCCCCTACCTTTGTGTTTTTAACACTTCCTTTCTTTGGGGCAACAAAGCTGTTTTCTGAAGGTTCTTTTGCCCCTGATCCCCTTATGTTCTGTATGTCCTGTTCATTGCTTTGACTGGCGCTCTTGCACTCGCTGAGAACAGCCTCCCTGGGAGCCCATTTGGGCTTTCCCTCCTCCCCCCATCGGCACTGTGTCAGGGGGCTTCTCGGGCAGAGGCTGCTGTGTATTCCTTATGCCTGTGTCTCGGACCAAGGTCATTACGTCCAGCTGACTGTGACAGGTGGCGCTGCCCCCCGAAATCTTCCCCTAGCGTATTTGGGATGTAACAGACTTGACACTTACACACGCGCCCCGGCACCCTTGCTGTTCAGGGTTTTGCGTCTCCTCCCTTTGTCAGCCCGATGCCATTCCGTGTTGCATGTAAGGCCAGCTGTCCCTGCACCTGCCTGTGGGTCCACTGTCTCCCCACCACCCTGGTGTTTCTGCTACTGCGGCCTCCGCCCTCGGTGCATGGGAGCCTGAAAGTGGAAGTGCTCTCTTCTAGAAAAGTGACTTTCCAGCTGTTCTGACCAATTTCCCTTTTGCTTAAGACCAGCTGACCTTAATTTTACCTCCCAGGTACCTTTGGCTTTGCTGTAGAGCACAGCAGAATCACAGGAGTGACCTCCGACCACCTTTACTCTATCCTGTCAGTTAGAAGCAGGCCATTGGTCTTGCCCGCACACTCATGGGAGCAGATTGCAAAAAGGTGTCACACTAGGAGTGGCCGTCATGGGCCCCTGGTGTGTGAGCAGCGCCTGCTTCCCCAGGGGCTCCAACCCTCCTGTGTGCAGAGCACAGTTGTCATCTCCAGGTACCTGGCCACCGTGGCACCAGCTCAGGGGTGCAGGCACTGGCCTTGGTCAGCTGCAGGTGTGCATCTAGCTTCTGGGTATAATCTGCCTTGGGGTCAGTGCCTGCGGCACATTCCTCTCCATCTGCTGACCCATGAAGGCTGTGAAGCACCTGCCCATCATGCAGGGCTAGGACAGGAGTGGGGTAACAGCTGGTGACATACGTTCACATGGGGGGAATGGGAGGTCAAAGGAGCCGTGACCATTCCTAAAGGCAGATGCTGCTGGAGGGCTTGGAGTGGGCTTTGGCCTGGTGCCCCCGGATCCGTCTCTGCCCTGCAGGCTCTTGGCCCTGCCCTCCGGCCCTCTGTCCTTCATGGAGTGGCCGGGGACCACCCCTGCAGGCACGTGGGGGCTGCGTAGCCCTCTGCGTCTGGTCCAGGCTGGCAGGGTCTTGTGAAGTGGGGTCCGCAGTTCATAGACGAAGCCGGACCCATAGGTCTTCCTGAAATGGTCTCTTGTCTGCCTTGGCTCCTGCTGGGGAGGCAGAAGGCCCTCACCCTCTGCGTCCACCCTCTGACTGACCCTCCAGTCTCCTGGACGGATCCTTCCTGTCACTGCACTCTGGCCTGTTGATCCTCCTGAGGTTTGAGCAAACGTTGAGTGGCCCACCCAAGCCCTTTTCTCTGGAGTGCTTTCCCAACAGCAGAGTCTCTTGAGTTTTAGCAGCTGTTGCCTGCTGGGGACACTGGGCACCTCAGAGCCATTGAGTGCGGGTTCCTCTGTGCTTACTGTGGCCTCCCTCGGTTCCTTCTCTCACCTTCTACCATCAGTAGCCAGACACAGGCCAGGCTGCCTTGCTTTCTGCCCGGGGCTGTCTGCACACAGCCTGCTGCCTCGCTTTGCTAGCCCCCTGCCACCTCCTAACAAGGACCCTCCCTCCTGTTCCCAGAACATTCCCCTCCCTCTGAGCCTTCTCAGGCATCATCCTCTGTGTGCCCCTGTCTTCTGATAGGCTGCTCAGGGCAGTCTGCCCTGCTGTTCAAGATTCTCACAGCCAGCACCCACTACCTCAGACCAAAGCCCACCTTGGCACTGGGTTCACTGCGTGGGAAAGTGCCACAAACACGGCACATCGTCCTCCCCCACAGTCCCCGTGGTTGCGAGGCCATACGGCCTAGCAGGATCCTGGCAGCGCTGGGTCCTGGGCATAGGTGGGAGCTTGCCGGCTGTCAGTTGGACACTGTGCTCGGCTCCTGGGGGCTGTGAGCGGCCGTGGGTCGAAGCCACCAGGTTAGTGGTGGTCTCGCCCTGGTTGTCTACAGGCTCAGGCGGAGTGCTTTGTCAGGCCACCCTGCTTCATGGTTTCCCGTCAGGGTCTCCAGAAGCCTGCCACTCACCCTGCCACCCGTTTTTGATGGCAGTCGGCCCTTCTGTGATGTGCTTGTCTCGTGTGTCATCTCCAAGAACAAAGACAGTTGTGTCATGGCGTTCATAGCGAAGTCCTAGGAGCTCAGCTTTTCCTTGTCACAGGCAGGACACTGGCACACTGGCACTGGCACTGTGTCTCTGGCACGGAGCGATGCCGGGAATGCGTTCTGCCTTCCCGCGTCAGGAGGGAGCTGCCCAGCTGCCTCAGCGCACGGCTCCCGCCCTGCGCCTCCCCTTGCCCTCCTTGCCCCTCTCACCCCCCACGCCCCCCTCGCCCTCCAGAGCTCTTCCTGGTTCACATCTGATACGCACCAGGTCATCTGTGCAAGTCACGCTCCCGGGAGTAGGGCCCAGACTGCTCTGGCCCAGACACCTCGGGAAGACCTTGGAGTAAGGATTTGTGCTCGCCGTGCAGACTTTGTTCACTCAGAAGGCTGCGGGGCGACTACACATGTTTGCACACGGACACTTGGGGTCCATGCTTTGCACTGAGCTCCCCACCAGTCGTGAGGCGTCCGCCCTGCAGGACGTTAGATGTGGATTAGACCCAGAGCATCACAGATGTTACTGTGGGGCTTAGGCATCACCATTGTTACGGCAGGTCTTTCCTGAGGACCAGCAGTGCGCCTTGCTCTTTATCTTCCAGCGGTGTTTATGTCGAATGGGGTTTTCCTCTTCTTAGTGCCTGGGCTGCTTGAGGGCCGTGTGGGGCTGTTAGCACTTACTCCCCGTCGTGTTCATCCGGCTCGTGTTTGTGAGCGCCGCACAGACACACCTGTGC